GGGAAAATTCCTGATATGAAAGGCTTAACAATGATTTACAATCATAGATAATATTTTTTAGGGTGATTTATTGTTAGTGCCTAACGCCTGTCACAATACATGCCAGCTAAACAGAGAATTGTGTATTATATCAGTTTGTGTTGCTTTATGTTTCATAAATTTAAAAATTTGTAGACATTACTTAAGAGAGGTTCTTTCATTTGATAATCTTAGCCCACATTTCTTTTTGATTGCTAAGAACCTTTACCAGTGTAGTGTGTGTGTGTGTGTGTGTGTGTGTGTGTGTGTGTGTGTGTGTGCGTGCGCGCATGCACATGCGCATGTGTGTGCATGCAGATTAATAACATGAGAAAACATTACTTTGTCCCTGGACCTGTGGGGGAATCTGAGCGGATGGTAGAGATGCTCCTTCTTTTGCTGTGAATTTTTTGACTATAAGTTGAATCATACTTCTCCTGTAGTCTCAGTAGGTGCTCCGATCCTTTGATACCCTTTACCCATTATGTGAATGTAGAACTTGATTTCTAATAAACTAATGGAATAACTTTGGCAGGATTTTTTTTAAGGTGAGCTTTTAATTTTTTTTTTCTCAACAAGAATATTTTTTACTTGAAGCATACTTCAGAATATGTGGTTCTAAAAGATAAATATAAAACATTCCATCCAGGAAAAATAGAATACTCATTTTCTTCAGGTATACACAGAAGAATCCCCTGGCTAAATCACATAAAAAGAGACATAACAAATATTACAAGTTTAAGAAGACTTAAATCATACCAACTATATTTTCCAGCCACAGTGGTACAAAACTGAAGATCAACAATAAAAGATGAAAAATCTACAGTGTAAATATTAAATATTTAATATGTAAATATTAACACACTACTGCACAAGCATTGGGCCAAATACGAAATCAAATGGCAAATCAAAATATGACTCAAAACAAAAGAAAAAGAAAACACAATATTCCAAAACCTATCCGATGCAGCAAAAGCAGATGTTGAGAGTGAAATTTATGCTATAAATGCTTGTATTAAGAAAAAAGTTCAAATAAACAACACTACACCACAAGGGACTAGAAAAAAAGAAACTTAGCTGAAATTTAGTAGAGGAAGGAAATTAAAAAAAAACCAGAAATTTTAAGTAAAATAGAGACCAGAATAAACAATAACATAACATTGAAAGTAATGACCAGTTTTTCCAAGAAAATAAACAAAATTGGCAATGCTTTAACTACATTAACTAAGAAAAAAAAGGAGACTCAAAAACCCAAATGAGAAATAGAAAAAATTACAGCAGATAACCACAGAAATAGTGTGATAACAGATTACTATAAACAATTTTATACCAACACATCAATTAACTTAGAAAACACCCCCAGATAATTCCTAAAAATGCACAGGTTACTAAGATTCACTCATGAATCTTAAATCCAAGAAGTCAGAAATCCTTTTAGACTAATAACAAGAATGAATCGAATTAGGAATCAAAAATCTTCCAGCACAATCTTTATGAAAATCTTACAAATAATGGAATAGAGGGAACACATTCAGAATTATTCCATGAGGCCAATACTACCCTGATACCAAAGCAGGATAAAAATAATACAAGAACAGGGGTGCCTGGGTGGCTCTGTCAGTTGGATGTCTGACTCTTGATTTTGGCTCGGGTTATGATCTCAGGGTGGTGAGATCTGGCCTTGTGCTGGGCTCCATGCTCAGCAGGGAGTCTGCTTGAGAGTGTCTCTCTTCCTCTCCCTCTGCTCCTCCCTCTGCTTGTGCATGATCTCTCCCTAAAATAAATAAAATCTTAAAAAATAAAATAATATGGGGTGCCTGGGTGGCTCAGTTGGTTAAGCATCTGCTTTTGAGTCAGGTCATGATCCCAGGATCCTGGGATCAAGCCCTGCATCCGGCTCCCTGTTCAACAGGGAGCCTGCTTCTCCCTCTCCCTCTGCCTCCTGTGTCCCCTGCTTGTGGTCGCTCTCTCTCTCTTTCTTAAATAAATAAAATCTTTAAAAAAAAATACAAAAATACAAAAACAAAAACAGTACAAGAACAAAAAAGTCTAGTTTGTCCAATATAAGTATTGCTACTCTGGCTTTCTTTTAACATCCATTTGCATAATAATTATTTCTCCACCCTGTCACTTTCAATCTTCAGGTGTCTTTAGGTCTAAAATGAGTCTTTTGTTGGCATCATATGGATGGGTCTTGTTTTTTTATCCATTCTGACACCCTGTGCTTCTTGATTTAGCTAGCATTTAGCATTTAGTTCATTTACATTCAGAGTAATTATTGATCATGTATTTATTGCCACTTTATTACTTGTTTTGTCATTGTTTCTGGAGATTTTCTCTGATCCTTTCTTGTCTTTGTCACTTTTGGTCTCTCCTTGGCACTCAAAAAGTCTCCTTTAATATTTCTTGCAGGGCTGGTTTAGTGGTCATGAACTCCTTTGGTATGGTTTGTCTGGGAGACTCTTATCTCTCCATTTATTTTGAATGATAGCCTTGCTGGATAGAGTGTTCTTGGCTGCAGATTTTTCCCATTCAGCACTTTGAGAATATCATGCCACTTTCTTCTGGCTTGCCAAGTTTCTGTTGAGAAATCTGCAGCTACCCTTATGGGTTGTTCCTTGTGAGTTAAGGATTTATTTTGTCTGATTGCTTTCAAGATTTTTCCCTTACCACAGTATTTTGCAAATTTAATTACAATATGGCTTGGTGTTTGCCTGCTTTTGTTGATTTTGATAGGAGCTCTCTGTGCCTCCTGATCTGGATGTCTGTTTCCTTCCCCAGATTAGGAAAGTTTTCTGCTGTTGTTGCTTGAAATAAATTTTCTGCCCCCTTTTTCTCTCTTCTTCTTCTTGGGCTCGTATAATATGAATGTTATTACATTTGATGGAGTCACTGAGTTCCCTGAGTCTGTTCTTGTGTTGCATAATTCTTTCTGTCTTTGTTCAGCTTCATTATTTTCCATTATTTTGTCTTCTAGATCACTCATTCATTCCTCTGCCTTTTTCAGCTTGCTAGTCATTGCATCAAGCCTATTTGAAATCTTGTTTATTGTATTCTTCATTTCTGATTAATTCTTTTTTAACTCCTTTATCTCTGTTGTAAGGGATAGAATGTCTTCTATTCTTTTCTCAAGCCCAGAGAGTATCCTTATGATTGGTTGCTTTAAATTCTCCATCAGGCATGTTCCTTATATCTTTTTCACTTAGCTCTCTGGCTGTGGCTTTATCTTGTTCTTTCATTTGGGGTAAATTCCTCCATCTTGGTATTTTGTCTAAGTTCTTGCCTTCTTTTGTGTGTTAGAAAAGCCCGTTATGTCTCCTGCTCCTGAAAGTAATGGCCTTATGAAGAAGAGGTCATGTAGTGCCCAGGGTCCCAGGGTCTGACATTTCAGGGAGTGTCTCCCATGTGTGCTGTGTGCCCTGTGCTGTTGTGTTTAGGCAGCTCTGTCCTTTAGGCCAGTCATCCACAGAGGCTCTCCTTTGTTGTGGGCAATGTTTGGTTCCTGGCCTGACTGTGGTGAGTTTTAGCTATGTGTGCTCTGGTTTGCTTGTGAAATGACCCTGATACCAACTCCACCAGAACAGAGGCCCTGTAGAACTCTCTGTCTGGGACATGTGCTGTGGGCAGGGGTTTCTGCTGGTCTTCTGGGGGAGGGGCCTGTCCCAGTGGGACTGAAGCAAGCTTGACTGAGAAGGGCAGTACCACCAGAGCACAGGTGTGTGGGACTTGGTGTAAGCAAATTAGGCAGCCATTGCCCATGCTGAGCTGCTTCCCTCAAGATTTTATTTTATTTTTTAAGAGATGGGAAGCAGGTCTTATGTATCTTCTGTTCTCATTTGGGTAAGAGGGTATTTGCATTTTAATTAATGCAACTGATTTTATATATAATAAGCATTTCAAGTGGCACTTAGTATTTTTTTTAAAAAGATTTATTTATTTGAGAGAGCATGTGTGTGGTGGGGGGGCAGGAGGAAAGGATCTTCAAGCAGACTTCCCACTGAGAGTGGAGTCTGATGCGGGGCTCAATCTCACGACCCATGAGATTATGACCTGAGCCAAAACCAAGAGTGGGACACTTAACCAACTGACCCACGCAGGTGCCCTGTCAGTAGTTTTTTGAAAAGGTTTACCCCTCCAATGTTTATGAAAGTAGCTTTTTAATTTTGTTTAAGAAAAAAAATCAGCCTCTTCAGAAATCTTTTATTTGAACTTACCAGCCTATAAGTTAAATTTCTTTTGTCCTTACTTTTGCATGCAGTTTCTACTTTCAACAGATAGAAATTGTAATGGAATTCTAGGCAGTGTTTCCCAACGCCATCATGCCTACCCTTTCTTACTGTGTCTGAATGGTCCCAGTTTACTCCAGGGATTTAAAAGTGTATTCTTATTTTTTTAAAATTACAGAGTATTCATCCCTGAAGGCTATGTAAGTTACTATTATAAGGTGAGAAAGGTGCTATTTTATTAAGTCTACTTTGCAGCTCTTGAGGTGTGGTGGACATTTTAGTGAAAAATAGGTCGATGGAGATCTAGATTGCCCCTGGCTGTTTAGACTTCTCCCGTGCTCCCAGGTGTGTGGGGTGCCAGAGGCAAAATGAGAGACTAGGACAGTTGTATGTAAACAAATAAATTATAAAACAGAATTTCTGTAGTTAATCCAACAATGGAAATGAGACAGAACCCTAGGACATTCCTAGGCAGAGAATCTGAATTCCTATATTATGTAAACCATTCCTATGAAAAAGGGGTTTTATTTTTCTGTTTCCTTTTGATATTAGACAGTTATTTGTTCCTTTATTTTCTGCTGAGTCTTATTACTAAAATTCTAGATTGCTCATAGAAGTCATTTCATCCATCACTGAATTATTCTCCAAAACAGCTACTTTTTAAGTGGCATATAAGGGTGTTTTAATGCTAATAAGACAAGAAGGATGTTTAGCACTGCTTTTCCTCAACCGTTCTTGGTTTCCTTTTATTTCTAGGATGTGGGGAGCATCTTGTACGTACCATACTGGCTAGAGAATGTTCACACGCTTTACAAGCTGAAGATGCTCACCAAGCACTGTTGGAGACTATGCAAAACAAGTTTATCAGTAAGTATAACATTAAAAAATTATGTTCTTCTAAATATAGATTGATTCACTGAGCTGTAAACCAGTCAGATACCATATTTGTGCCAAAAGGCCTAGCTCCAGGGCCTAGCATAGACTTATACCTCCAATTAATATCGGTCATGAAAAGAATTACATGAGATACGTACTAATGCATGAAATTTGCCATAAAACTAATACCCAAGCTGTGAGACATTATCTAGGATTAAAGTGATATATATATAGTAGCATAATATTCTACTAAAACAAAATTCAAGAGATAACATCCTTTAAAAGTTTTTTTATAATATACTTTGACTCTTCTTTTAGTCAGTGATATATTAATGAGTCCAGTGCTGCCATGTACAGTTGTCTAGGGTTGAGTTGAAATCCTGCCTGGGCTCCATTTGCCAAGCTGTGAGGCTGCATCAGTTTGGAGGAAGGGGTGTCTTCAAATCTGTAGAAAGATTTTATATTGCCTCGCACAGGTCCTATCCATAACTGTTACACAGGGTTAAAACTATTTGATTTAGTCTGCTTTTCCCATCATGTAACATTGAGCTTGCCACTATGTGAAGAGTAGTGAAGCTGTAGAAGACATATATAGTTAAAAATAAGTTATGGTAATAGCCATGAATAAATTAGAAAAGCGTATTACAGGGTTAATCTGGGAGGTGGTATCTCTAGTTGGACAATTAAGACAGGGTATAATAGAATGCCAATTATGTGATGAGGACAATGCAGACAAAAGTGTAGGAAGAAATTGTTCCCCAAAGAACTAATGGGTGGAGGCTCTTAGAACTGGCCCCAGGCTCTGGGATAAGTGGGAAAAGAGGGAGCAGAGAGGAGTATAAACAGACATGACAGTCGGATGCAGTGTCCGGAGAGTTAGATTCCTATATGACTCTTACCTGGCAGAAAGTATTCCTTATGTGCAGTGGCGCTGGTGAGGCCAGGTCACAGAAGGCCTTAAAATCTCAACATGAGAAGATAGCAGGAGGGGAAGAATGAAGGGGGGGATTCGGAAGGGGAGACGAACCATGAGAGATGATGGACTCTGAGAAACAAACTGAGGGTTCTGGAGAGGAGTGGGGGAGGGGATGGGTTAGCCTGGTGATGGGTATTAAAGAGGGCATGTTCTGCGTGGAGCACTGGCTGTTATGCACAAACAATGAATCATGGAACACTACATCAAAAACTAATGATGTAATGTATGGTGATTAACATAATAATAATGAAAAAAGAAAAATAAATAAAATCTTAAAAAAAAAATCTCAACATAAGAGTTCATATTTGATCTGATAGGAAGGAGAGAACCTTATGTGTTTCTAAGTTGACAAATAAAATGGTATTTTGGGGGAGGGTTTATAAAATAGATCTAAGGTTGTCCAAGACCATCTCTATAGGAAAGAGACACGAGGGGCTGGGAATGGTTCAAGGGATGGAGAGGAAATGGAGAAAGTAGAAATATTGGTAGACTCAGATTTTGAGACTAGGTGGATGTAGCCCTCTGGGTCCAATCAGGAGATAGAAACTATACATTGGGGACGCCTGGGTGGCTCAGTTGGTTAAGCGTCTGCCTTCGGCTCAGGTCATGATCCCCGTGTCCTGGGATAGAGTTCTGCATTGGGCTCCTTTCTCAGCAGGGAGCCTGCTTCTCCCTCTACCTGCTGCTCCCCCTGCTTGTGTGCTCTCTCTCTCTGACAAATAAATAAAATCTTAAAAACACAAACAAACTATACATTAGGTTAATCAGGGGAAGTATAATATAAAGAATTGTTAACTGTGTTGAAAGAGTAACTCTAAGATATAAAGAAACTCTAGGTGGTACTCTAGAGCTGAGTGTCCAAGTGAGGACATACTTGGAAGGGGCGCAGACCTTGATGAAGAAGGAATGGTTTGGCCACCAGGGAGCAGAGAAGTTCATGGGTTTGGCCTTGCTGGGACTGGTCTGGAGTTGCTGTGCAGACAGTAGGCTACTCTTGAGTGCAGACAGGGAGCAGATGATCAGTACCTAGTGGCCGGGTGTGTAGTGGGAGTCTGGCACCAGTGGAGGCAGAAGACACAGAGGACTTCAGAGCCCACAGGCCACAGAGGGCTTCTAGAGGGACTGACTACTTGGTCTTCGACTCTCTGGGCCACAGGGGCTACATGCAGACTGTGTGGGGCCTTGCCAAGGGAGTCCTGTGCAGCTGCGGGAGTTATATTGCCAGCCCCAGGCTTAGGCTTCAAAGTCACAGGGGGAGTGTGTTCTGGGCCTGTGGCTGGGGCAGACTTCACCAGATGTCCACACCCATACTGTCTCCTTCCCAGCCCATGCTGGAAATTGCAGGAAGGGTGCCTTTTGTAACTGTTTATCTTCTTTAACTCAGTTTAATGCCTGACTTCTTGCCTTCATTCTGCTAGCTCCTTCCATGTAAGCCTAGTCTCTTTATACATGGCACTTTATATTTGTTTGCCACTTTCCCTCTCAGTGGGATTCAAGGGAACTTCTTTGTCATTGTGGGAGGGACCATCTGGTACATGGTCTCTCTCCTCCTACTGTTGGTTTCTGCTGAGATGGGACTTGCCCTCTACGTCCCTATGGGTTACTGGCTTCTGTTGCTGCTGAATTTGCTATGGTGTCCATGGTCTTGTTGTAGCCTGTGGTTTCCTTAGTACACACAGCATCCACTGACAGTAGATGCTAGTGTTAGTAGAATCAGATGGTCTGAAACTTCTGGAATAATCAGTGAGAATGTCAAGCCCTCATTGCCCAAGTATATCAGGCTAGTTTTTCTGCTTTACTCCTAGAGCATCTTATTGGCCTGAGTGTGGCATGGGAATGGGGAACTTCCCTACCTGGCTTTCTGTGTCTTTAGGCCTCATCTATTCTTGGATCCTCCAGATCTAGCTAGGGCTTTTTTATTTGTCTCCTCTTTTTCCTCTACCCTCACCAGCTTGGAAAGAGGGGCAGAAACCTATGCCAGTGATCAATTCTTTTCTTCTGGTTTTCCCACCAATGCCCACATGTCCAGTCACATCCTAGCCCCAGTCCTACTTTTGGGGTACTCATGGGGAGCTCTAAACTATTTATTCTGCCCAAATTTAGGATTTACCTATCAAAACATATTTCATCCCAAAGGTGTCTCTACTTAGAATTTATGAAAATCCACTTAGAAGCTCAAAGGATAAAACGTATCAACTAGATAAGCATACAACTGATGGGATCAATGGAAGGTTCTGGGGATGGGGATAAAACTGTATTTCATTATTGTTCAGGCCTTTAATAAGTATCATGCCCTATCAGGAAAGATTTTTAGGGCAACGAGAGAAAGAAAAACAGATATGGGCAGGAAAGAGTTGGATATATCTGAAGGAAGAACAGAGTGAATAACTGTAGGAAAATAATTCAATATGAAGAGATTTTGTACAGGTGCTTTCTTACAGTTATTTAAACTGAGGTTATGAAGACATAAGTAATGGTATTAACTATATACATGCTAGCAAGAATTGCCTGATAGCAAAATGTAAGCTGATAAATGAATTAGGAACAGGCCTTTGAGGTCTGCCTCTCATGATTTTTCAGAAAAAGGTTGATTACATTCATGTTACTCTATCCTCAAATACATCAGAATCAGACTTAGGAATTATTGGTCTTTTAACAGTTACCAACTGTTGAATGCTGTTTTTAAAGGAAACCAAATTCTTGGCCTTAATAGCATATATAATTTATATAATTTATTATTAGTTGTCCTGCTATATTAGATGTATTCTCAGAACATTAGTGGGAAGGAATAGTAAGAGGTGAAAACCAGATGCTCAGGAGAAGTTAACTTCCTGGGAACCTGTGGTAGGTGTGGAATTATGGCACATGGCAACTTTCTGAAGCACTTTACTGAATCTAAAACCACAGATTCACCAGCTAGTTCTACCTTTCCAGATTTGGGTCCATGCTAAGGAGTTCCTCAACTCCATTCTTTTCTCTTCTGGTTGTCTGTTCTTTCCTTCTCTATAGCTCTTTGAAGCTAGCTACTCAGAGAGTTGGACTGCAGTATTTCATTTTGCCACTGGGACCCAGGACCTAATAGTGCATTTGAACCCTATTTTTTTTTTTTCATTTGAACCCTATCTTAACAATTCCAGATTCTTGGAAAAAAGTAAGAAACTTCAGAGCTCACCTGATTGACCCTGTGTATTTAATAGTTGAAGAAAACTTAGTTTTCAAGTTTAATGACTTGCCCAATGTCACCCAGTTAGTGTGTATTCTTTCTGTAGGATCATACTACCCTTTTTTTTTTTTAAGTAAAATGAATGGGAAATCCTGGGGGTTAGCAAAGTTGGGTTCCACTCTGGACTCTGTCTGACTCACTGGATATAGCAAGTTACTTAAGTTGTTTTGTTAAAAAAAAAAAAAAAAAAGAATGTTAGACAGTTTCTAAATTCCTTCACCATGCTGAGTTCTATGAATTCTCTACTGTATCCAACCTGAAACTGTGAAATTCTTTTTAATCAGGTGATTTGGAAATAGGATTGGAAAATGAAAATTTTCCAGAACCACTTGGGAATTTTCAGGAACCACAGATGATATTTATAAAGTAGTTAGAAGAAATAAATTGAATTTACCAGAGGCCTGGACAAGGAGCAAGAAGGTTGTGTTCTTTCCTCTTTTAACAGTGATGAAATTAGTTGTTTGTTTTAGGACAACTCTTTGTTCTCAGTTTCCTCATGAATAAAGTGAGGGCCCAGAAAGTCCCCTCTAGCTCCAAAATTCTGTTGGATCCTTGGTTTGTTCACAGGCCAATCTAAACTATTTGTGTGAAAGTATAGTTGGAAATCAAATTGCTCCTTAATTGACACTATAAATTAAAATTGGTAATGGTGGATCTCAAGTTCCTGTTTGAAGTAATTTGGCTGAAATCGTTCTGGCAGTGACTGAAACAAGCTAGCAGCCACTTTCTTGGTTTTATGGAAAGACACCACTGTATTCTTACTTTCTTGCTTCCTTTGTTTTTTCTTTTAAA